GTTTTTATGTAGATATATATGTATGTATGTATGCATTTCTTTATGTTTGTTTGTATGTATGTCTGTATGTATATATGTATGTACGTATGTATGTATGTATGTATATATGTATGTATGTATATATGTATGTATGTATGTATGCATGTTTGTATGTTTGCATGTACCTATGTTTGTATGTCTGCATTTACCTATGTTTGTATGTACGTCTGTATAAAAAAGTAGGTGTATATGTATATGGTTGTAAATTGGTATGCCTAAAAGCATGCCAACCTGTCTGTATGCTTGCCTGCCAACCTGTCAGTCTGCATATATGTGTATGTAATGGCCAAGATATATATAAGAATTTATGCAGTCATGTAATATTATTTTTATCTTTTAACATTTAGTCATATATATATATATATGTAATGTGTGCTTATATGGATAAATTTTCAAATAGATACAAATGACTGTAAAAAGGGAAATGTGTACTTATCAATGTAATTATTAAAATATCTACCTAAACATAGTTATGAGAGTGTGTGTTTCTTTCCACGTGATGGTGCAAATGCCTGTGTATGTGCGCCAATGCATGTGTACATGCTACATTTTGGCAGTGAAACTTTATACTGAACTAAGAGAATGATAAAAAAGTGCCTCTCTTGACTATTTCTGCACAAATATTTGCAAAATCTGCTAAATAAAAACATAAAAACAAAGTAAAACAAAGAAAGATTCCTAAGACACTCACTTTCACATTATGTCATTCATAAGAAAGTGTAATATTCACTATGCACACAACCCTCCTCATTATCCTTGCAGACACTCACTCTTTACCCTCTCTTCTTAATCAATTCTCAATCTGTTCCAATCATTTATAATTTGTTACAGTCTGTCCCATAATTTATCATAAACCACAATCATGCCAATAACTTAAAAAAGAGCGGCACCATTAGTATAGCGTAACTCATAAAAGAGTAACAAGTGCCATGAAACCACGGTCTCAATGAAGTGATGTAAAGAGGCATTTTACATTCTGAATTTTTATAATCATTCACCTGTCCATTAATAAATGTTTTCACTCATATCAATCATTGTTTTATAACCTTGTTTTTAAAGCAGAATCAGCAAATGCCAACCTGTATTTATTTTTTCTTACTACAATGTCATACACTCTAAGACAAAAATGTAATTAATAAGTATTCATAGTAACCAGTTTATGGCTGTATTAAGGAAGTATGATATAAATTTGGAACAACTGTGGAGCATACATATTTAAAAAAAATATTGATATAAATGGATGCACCTTTACGAAAATAGCATTCCATATCAATTTATTAAGTCTGAATACAAAAAACATGCTAAGTAAATAGAAATTTGTAAGAAAACACCAATCAGGCACAAGTGACTGAGGTATGATTAAAACACACAATTTCAATTACACAGAAAAACAAGTTTACCTAAGTATGAACATTTGAAACAATCAACATAACAAAAATGTATTCTTAATCTAAAATCCTGAATGACTGACTCATTCTTTCAACTTTTATGCAAAGTGACAGCAGCACAAATTAATAATAATAATAAAAAAATGCAATCAGACTTATGAAAAACTTGATGATTCATATTTTTTCATGCTTCATTTTATGTCAAACTGACCAGCACTTGTATCCAATTTCTACACCTTTGTTTATTACTATGATGTACAGAAGCTTTTAAAATCCATTCTACTTATAAATCATAAAAAAGTCAAATTTTCTATACAGGCCTCTTTCCTATTAACACATTCCTAATACCATATAAGATTGAGGATTTTCAAAAATTTAGTTATAATTTGTTCTATTTAGCTAAAAATAAGCATATCTCTAATATCACTACATTGTTAATTCATAAATTAGTGTGGCCAATAAAAAAGCAATTCTATTTTCCTTTCACACATTTCCTGCATTAACTGTGAAAGTATTTCTAGCAAGACACCTAAAAAGAAAGACTATCTGTACAAATATCTTGTAAAAAATAATATGTACTTAAAAAGATACTCACCAATTTCTTCTCCATCTTGGCCTTAATATCACGAGCAAGGGTGAAAAAAGCGTCTTCAACATTAATGGAAGCCTTGGCTGACGTCTCCATGAATTTTATCCCATACTCTATGGCCAGTTGCTCTCCTCGTTCTCGAGATACCTGAAAATACATTAATCCTTGTTAAAAAGTATGTCCAATATGAAGTGTTATGTAAAGAACAAATTTCTCCTGATGCATAATGTAACTTTTGAGCAAAAGATCTTAAGATATACAGACATGGTCCTTCATATGAAAGATATGATAAAATGAGTATCTGATATTCACTTTTGTTGACTACCCTTTCAGATCTGACTGTTTTTATTTCAATGTACAAAAAAAAACAAAAAAAACAAGTGCATAATATCTAACTTTCTATACTTGTCATAATAAATGTCATAATAAAACAATTTTCATATGCATAATACTTTAAACTTGATGAGCCTTATCAAAGATGTCATTAACAGTAAAAATATAACACAACAGCTCTAAATCATTAAATGTATCTGACTGTTCTTGTCTTTGCTTTGGCTTCTGTATCACAGGCATGAATTCATAATCTAAAAGATTTGCATGCTCTTTCCTTTAGATAACTGTATCAAACTCCACATCTCCAGAACTTACTTGTCTCTTGTCATTCATATCACATTTATTGCCAAGGACCATTTTCTCTACATCTGCTGATGCATGCTCTTCAATGTTCCTTATCCTGAAACAAAGATAATTCTGATTTTAGAAAGAAAGAAGAAGAAAACAGATACAGTTAGCCATTAACATTCATTAGGGTTATGTTCCTAAACCCAATGTGTATCTTAAAATGAATGCATGCTGTAGATATCACTAATTGTTTGACTAGGATATGGCTAGGCCCATCCTTATATCATTTTATTGGTGAAATCTCAAAAACATGTTGCTGTTAGTCAACATATAAATCATAGCAATTTTGAAATCACTGGTTGTAGGTAAATATTCAAAATATTGTACATATTAAATATGTATGCAATAAATTGTTGTTATCTCACACTATGATGATTGCATTACTATGAAAACCAAAAATAGCCACTCAAGGCTTTAAATCATGTGAAGCCTCCTTACATGGTACTGAAGATCTGATAGACAGCTGCCACACAAAGACTAAAGCTTTTTCATCTCATTTGTTCATATTATTTTTATTTCTATTATCATAAATTTTCTTAATATAGTATTTTCATGTTCTAAATATTTTTCATGGTATATTTTTTCAACTCTCTCACAGCTGCATCTCTTGGTCCCTAATGGTGTTCATAAATATTCATGTATAATTAGGTAAAGACAAGAAAAGAAAAAAAGTAAAAAGAAAAGAAGAAGTAAAAAAAGGGGAGAAAAAGAGAACAAGGAGGAAGAAGCAGAGAACAATTTTTGTGATTAAATTTCCCCCCGACACGTTCTCACCAGTTTTTGATATTATCAAAACTCTTCTCGTTTGTGATGTCGTAGACCAGCATGATGCCCATAGCCCCTCGGTAGTAGGCTGTGGTTATAGTCCTGAAGCGCTCCTGGCCAGCTGTGTCCCATATTTGGAGCTTGATCTTCTTTCCGTCCAACTCAATGGTTCGGATCTTGAAGTCAATGCCTGAAGAGGATGATTATGATCATTACATTACATTACATAACACTTCTGTAAGAACAACTTTGGCTTAACAAGGTGACATGTAAGCTTGGCATTTAAAAGCTCTTTTCAATAGCATAATTTTTCTGACCAGTATGGTAGATTATCTTGATACTGGAGTCTCCCAAACTTCAGGAATGCGTAAACAATATCACCACTAAATTTGCAACCCTATAAACTTAATAACCAACTAGACCTTAAGTGGCAGATTTCCTAATTCATAGATATAATCATCTGTGTTGTGAATCAGCTTCATTTATATGATAGACAAATAAAACACACTGGCTTATATAGACACAGGGATAAAAATGCTAATAAATCTATAAATGCATATTGGGATGAAGAAGAAACACACAAACAAATTCCAAAATCAATACATCAATCAATCAATCAATCAATCTATATATATATATATATATATATATATATATATATATATATATATGTATATATATATAATATATATATAA